GTCGCAATGTTCGGCGTCGCGACGCCAGGCGTCGGTTTTCTAATTTCGTCAGCAGCGATATTTAAATTCATGTGCGATAACACTGGCGCCATGATAGAGCGTCGCAATGTTCGGCGTCGCGACGCCAGGCGTCGGTTTTCTAATTTCGTCAGCAGCGATATTTAAATTCATGTGCGATAACACTGGCGCCATGATAGAGCGTCGCAATGTTCGGCGTCGCGACGCCAGACGTCGGTTTGCTAATCTTGCAGCCAAAGTAATCAAAATCGATCGAATCACATTCCTGGGTCTTGTGATGACGTCTTGAAGACGCATAGACCTTGTTAGCCAGAGACGGAGTCAAGCACAGACCTGGTGAATCACACACCGTGTACAGCATATACCGGTTGACTCACAGTGTGAATACGGCTCAGACTGTGTGAAATAGACAGCCCGGCGGAGTCTAGTCCTGATAAGGATGAGCGAGGTCAAATTTAGAAGAACAAATTTCAAATTTTTCGAAAAATCAAATACGCTGCAAACGCTCTGAAATGCGCACAAAACCGAAAATTTTCCGAAAATTCGAAAGAAAATTAAACCAGGTGACAAGACTGTTCACGAAAAAGATACCGAAAGTAATTTGAAAATAGCTACTATATTAAAATTCCAGTTTCAAAGAAATCATGGGGGAAACAAATATCTCAACACGTAAGTGAGTGTGTGTGTGTTTAAGTGCGTAAGGGAATGACTAAATTCTATGAAAAATTTTAAAGTTTAAAAACAAACAAACCTGCATTGTTTGATAGGTGGGTACATATACCGATGACAGAAACGGTCAGTACATTGCAGGGATTTAAGCATAACAGAGCTCAAGTCGTCTCCCTTCTCATCTGCTAATGCAGAGCTCGACGCACTCAACTGTTTCACTGCAAACTTCTGTATCTTCAGCTTGTTTGATGGAAACATTCTGGAATGCAAATACAAGTAGCCAGTAGATAGCCACTGATAGGGAACCTAAGATGACAGCCACCCAGCGATATGTACCTGATACGTGTTGCTTTACAAGAATGCATAAAACCATGGCTACTACGCCATTATATGAGCCTATTTGGCGACAGTCGACAAAGCACGATTGTCGTTACACGCTGTCTGCCTGCACAGCGATTAGTTCGAAATCACCCACTGATGATCATCACAATCTAGGCTTTCCGACCTGCGTAAATGAACAGGATGGTCTAGCCACCTAAACTTCCATTCGAGAGACACCCGGTTAAAATTAAGCCCAGCAAATTTTCGTGGGATTTCCTTGTCTCCCCAGGGGAATCCAAGCGAACATGAACGGCTCCTTCCAGATCCTTACCAATTCACTATTCAAGATAATCTTTCTATCTCATTCTCTTATTAATAACATACTAAGCTGAAACTAACTCCATTACGCAGAGGCCATCTTCAGAATTTAAAACTAGTTGAACTGGTTCAAAACTTTCACGCCATTTTTGGAACTGCAACGTTTATTATCGAGTTTACAGTAAGTATTCGGCCACTGGACCTTACATTGAGTAAGTTAGACGCAGTTCACTCGGCCACGTCACTTTTCGTAACTGGCCAGTTTATATTTATTCTCAAATCAAAGCATGTGTCCCGAGTACTCTTTTTAAGGATTTCTAACTAAAACTGAATGGGCAAATTTTTCCATCCTCATTTCACGCTATGTAACCACTGCATTTGGAAGCTCGTCCTTAAAGAAGCTAAGATAAATACTCCACAGCAGAAAATGAAGTATTTCATTCAGAAACTTCGATAACAAGTATGGTAAGTTTAATTAAATAATTACATTATTTTTCGTGAATACGTAGGGAAGTTAATGACTGGTATTGAACAATAACGTCTATCAGTATAAACTAAAATCACACTCAGCTTGTGCACACATCTCCGCCATGACAAGTAAACTGTGAAAAAAACCCAACTGCAGGAAAGAAATAAAAGTGATTAATCCTCATTCCTGGTTTATCACATGTTTGTGACGTAAAGTCACGTGATTTTGACGCGTGAATAATTGGGAATACCCGTTCCAATCATAAGTAAAATGGTGGTTCTTTTCAACTAAAGATTAATACCTAGTACTGATAGAGAAGTGACAAACAAGAATTGTTGTCCTGTCAACACATCAAACTCAACATGCTAATATGAAGTGGTCTATCAAAATTATGAAACAAAGGATTTACAAAATAAATGTGTATAGGTACAGCTGATTTGCATTTAATAAGACGGTAGCCTTAATAAAAGGTACGAAATTTTTAAATGTATTGCGGCTTATCGCCTGCATTACTTTCCATCAACCTAGATTTTTTCAATTTAGTGAAAGTTATTTACTATCTCAAACGTCAAAACAACGACGAAACTGCTTGTAGAAGTGATTCAGCTGGAAAATATTACTTACATTTACAATTATTTGTCCTCACACAGAGCTTGAATAAGTTGAAACACTGAGCTACGAGTAGATGATCGATATGAAAGCTTTATCAACACTGCGTCTCTCCGATATTTTTCACGGCAACGTTATCTGCACTAGATAAGACAACAAGAACAAGGGTCACTGCATAGTTAATTTATGAGAATCTTTGTATGGCTTACGGATGCAGAGAAGTGCTAGTGTCTAGTGTAATTTTAAATTTGAACTGATATTTGTTTAAAAAACTCATTGTATTTTAGAGAAGCTCTAGTAGTATAACGCAAGGTTCAGCACCTATAATACGAAAGAAAAACGCTTATCTAGTTTAGTATGCCTGCAGTTTTCACCATATATTCTCTCCAGGATCCGAGGCTCGATTTCTTTGCAACATTCCAAGTGACCCTTTTAAAAAACAACCTCTCTAGAAAATTCTAGGTTTCAGTTTATCTCCACCGGATTACATATAGTGCCCATATCACCTTGATATCTGTTAAAAACAACATAGGAGACATGTACAAGTCACGAAGTTCTTCGTTATGTTTACCCTCTAAAGTCAAATTTGTTCTCCATTCTTAGGGTTAAACCACTTTAACTGATATTTTCATTCGAAGAAAGATACAACGTTTCACATCCACACAAAACAATTAGCAGAAAAAGTATCGCTTTGTGCAAGGTGTTCCTTGAAACTTAATCAGTTAAGTAACCACCTCAAAGAATTAACATACAATTCAACGCAAATGGTATCCGTACAGTTTGAACTGCAATTTAGCAAACAACCTGACTTCAGTAAAAACTTCCTAGAAGAAACTCTTCAGCTTGTTAAACAGCCCGGTCCAGAAGATGACGCAACACGATCTTTGAATCTGCACAACTAAACACGTATTTTCCGTATTCTGATAATTAGTTAAAGTGCTGTCAATTTTTAATATACCTTGTGAAATGTCTGTACACTAATATAAAATATTACTGATTTACAAGATGACACCTCGTGTGTTTATCTAAGAATATAATATTAATTTATGTTAAAATCCTGCAATCCACGCTACCCATTATGCTCTGCTCCCGGGATAAAGTCTCTTCTTGCTACCCTAGTTCCGCATATTAACGAATGCCTGTTATTATAAAATAAAGTTCCTTCTTAGATTATTTATTTATTTAGTGTTCTGTCTGACGACAGGTCCATATGAACAGGATCCTTCCATCCTTTTCTCGGACTGGGACCTGTTCATATACGTTCTTGGCAGATGATCCAGAAGTGGTTTGCCATTGCCTTCTTCTGTGTGTGAATGGAGTAATTGTTGGGATGCCACGGAGAAACCGGGGAAGCCCCCGGAGGAAAACTCCGTGTTGCCTAGACCACGGCCTTGCCCAACACAAGTTATAAATTCGGGCTATAGATATACACTCTCTTAATACTATAACCATTAGTCCATGCGGCTTAACGATGTTCTCCTGGATTCCAAAAGTTTCCTACATTATCAAATGCTGTAATTGAAAGCATAACTAAACCTACAGAAAAAGTTGACAGCGGAACCACCGTTCCGGAGAATTTGACGTAAATACGTCTCTGTATTTAAATTATATTTACGTCTCTGTAATGTAACGTAAAATAATGTTATCTTCAATGTCATGCATCTTGTTACGAAAGCGGATTGTTGACGGCAGTAATATAACACAACAATGCCGAGTAAACATATGACGTTTCCTAGGTAACCATTGTTGTCGATTTGATACAGATCTTACACATTTTCCTTTCACTCTTTTGCCGAATGACCCTTCCGTATAGGCGTATTTACGTCAAAAAATTAAAATACTTACCCACTGCGCCGACTGCATCCACCGAAGACCGAGAGCTGGCATTGACGTAGTCCACACAGAGAAATAAACACCTTTCACTACTCACAGACTTCGTTGACCCAAATGATTTGTAATTCGTATTAACTGCATGTTTATTATTTACACTTCACCAAATGTAACTAATAACATCAGACCTAATGTACAGCAAAAGAGACCGAACACTTTAAACGTCATTAACTTATTTTCACGTTTCATCAAAACTTCATAATACCGGCAATATTGGAACATTGGATGTCGTTAAAAAAATATTTATAAACTGGTTTACTATTATTTTGCTGACGTTTGCATAGAATGAAACGTAGTTGGCACTGTTTCGTTATTTCTATTAAATAATGAAGAGAAACTCTTCCTGAGAAAATACATAATTATGTCATAATATTTTATTATGCGTTTAACATTATAAACATATTCCCATTAAAAACCATCATTCAGGCAATGCCATATTTCTAATAAACTCCTGGCAAAACTCGTGGTAAAACCGTGATAACAAGTAAACCTACAATTAAAGTTTTCACTTCACAACAGTGGAAAGAAATGTCTTTTGCATCAAATTGGTTTCTACACGAAAGCGGTTCCACTATCGCAAATCAATTACATCATTTTAGTGCGTTGCATCAACAGTCAAATGGCCACTTGCGGATGCAGGAAAAGATTAATAAATACAACAAATAACGATAAGCGAATTATAATAAAACTTGCACCGTTATCATAAATACAATAAAATATGCAAAAGCCATCAACACACCAAGGCCTCTACTACAAAATGGAGACAGACTTTTAGAGGTCTCAAGAACGAAATATTAATGTTGCAGTAATCACTACTTCTAGTTCTTAGCAGTAATACAATTCACAGAGTCATATTTACGTGCGACGTGACGATGGCATGTCGGAATAAACTTCTTCGCGTACCTGAGTAACCCCCAAACAATCAACATAAAAATACCTGTTCTTGACTCCCTACATACGAACCACAGCTAAATGAACTGCATATTTTTACGTACATCCGCGGTCTGTACGATCCAAGAAATTTGCAACACGTATAAATTTTAAAAGACTGTATATCAAAACAAACGTTTCCGGACCAATGTGTATTTACATTTTTACTTGAAGATGGCTGCCTTCTGGGTTGTAGCGCCCTGATGATGGAGACAGTAAGGACATTTAAAACGTTGGTAAACATCTACCATACATTTGTAACTTGTTTCCACTAGTCTCATAAAAGTAGAATTTATATTATAACAGAAACTTCATAGAACACGCTGACATTCAAAAACAACACGAAATCAACGGTTATAAGGTACCAATTAGTAAAGACATCTAGGCCTATACTAAACGCAACTTTCCATCGAGACTGCCACACCGCACAGCACACAACTCACCGTAAAGCAAAAACGAGTAACGTAACACAATCATAACGTAACTACGGTTCCCACGCCAGCAGATGTATGCTGGAATGGGGGTGGCCATGAATGGCTACGCTATAGTCTGTCGCAAAACATCAATCCAATCCCGCATGCACAATGTACTGCACTGCTGGAAACTATTGGCGCATAAAGTTATTGGAACTGGAATAAGCGGTATGCGCTTGCGTACTGAGACCACCGCCTTCATCAGCTTCGACTTCTCAGCGGATTTCTTACGGCGCGCGAACAGTAGACAGTATGTCCATACAGAAAGAAAGAAATAGAAGCATTTGAAACTTCTCTTGTCAATTAATGAGCATTTTGTGTCAGCCATCCACGTCCGCCTTTCCATATTACACAAGATGCAGTATATAACGCAGAAGAATATACATTTTAGCACGCTTATGAGATGGACATGGCTGGCTAATCGCCAAGGATTTTAGAATTAAAAATATAATTTGTGCATTAATCATTAGTATTCATAGCATATAATTTAAAGACGACCAACTACCTCCGAATCTGGTCACTCACTTCACGCACAACTATGACCAACAAACATCCGAAAAGGAAGCGGCGAAAACCCACAAGAAGGTTGCAGTGTCGAGAAACAACTACATCCAAATTGGCCTAATATTAAATATAAATGACCAGTAAGCACGTTAATCGCAACACTAATTAATTGCCTGGTCACATTAATTATTAACACCAATATGAGCAACTGAAGAACTCCAAATTAATAATTCCACATCATTCTGAAGAATCCCTCTTTCACTCTGCCCTTCAAACTTCTGAACCAGATGACCAGCTATCTCAAAATCTGGTATGTGCGTTATGCTACTTGTGGCCTCATACTCTGAATTACTTACAATCCAGGGACGTGGGAAGTGGGAGCGACATAAGAGCCAATACGGTTCTGAAATTGGTGTGATTGTACAAATTCGAAAATTGCAACTTTTGTTAATTCTTTTTTGCACAATGTAAACCATGAATATTAGAGCCACATAAAAATGGTTACATGAGAGTAGTCATGGCAGCTCAGTCAGCATAGTGGCAAGGCTACAAGCCGGATGACCAGGGTTCCTTTCTCGTCACCACAACGTCGAGTTCAGCGCTGGGGACCACCTGGCAGGTACCAGGCTTCCTTCCTCGGGAATGTGGCTGGGTACGCAAACCCTCTAAACATTGGTATGTTACAAGTAACAGCAGTACAAAAAATTTCTGAAGAGTTCTTAAGATCATAGGTTCTGATGGAATTCAGTCTGTAACCCATCATCATTATGCACGAAGGTTGTGAAATATAAGAAACAATGCAACAGAACATGTGAACCCTGCTGCGCAAAATTGGAAAACTTACAATTATTAATAATATTAAAACTCTCTGTAACCTTGCTATATGAAAAAGAATAGAACTTGGTGAATTTTTATCTTCATATTTCTTATAGGAGACGCACATCATGGCACAAAATCAAATTCAGGACAATTACAGAATTATTCCAATATAATAAACTGTAATTTCTTTGAACTGCTTTATACAAGTCCTAGCTCTTTAAGACAATATTTTTAACTATGAAACTGTTGAAAGAATATATTTTCACTTGAAACGAGCTTAAGAAACTTCGGTGTGCAACACAATTACATAACTTAGAGAGAGAGAGATAAATTTATGAAGTTTGTGGCATTCGGTTGGAAGCTGCAGTTGTTTGTAAAAGACTTATTTTAATCTATTATACACCGATAACTTTTCTCTTTGGAGATTCAGAAATTAATCTAAAAACTAATTATGCAGAATCAAGGTTTCATATCAGACTTCAGAATACTATTTCTACTACACTCTAGCCACTGAAAGTTTAAGTTTCAAGAAGCAAAATAATAGACTGCCCAAAATCAAAAATAGAAAAGACCTAACTAAGAAACATAAATAAATTAAAAATCTTCTTCTTTTTCCAGTTTAACAATGTTTGTATATTTTCTGGTACCCTTTACGGGTCCCCAACTTTTCAGTTGGCTTGATCTATGGACATTCGGTAGGACTCCTTGGACGACAGATCGGCCCGTCGCAAGGCCTCACCTGTACACAGGACAGCACAACACAGAAAAACATCCATGGCTTGAGTGGGATTCGAACCCACGGTCCCAGCGACCAAGCGGCACAAGGCCCGCACGGCCAGTGCAGACCCCCAAAAATTAGAAATGTAAATTTATTTATACAAACCTAACATAAACATGGTGTGCTTTTCAGACATAACAACAAAACACTGGTATTAGTGCAAATAAAAAGAAATAAACTGTATTAACAAAGCAAAGTATTTTCCAGGTAAAAGAAGTGCCATACTATAGGATGCAACAAGATTTTAAAACAAAACAAAATTTATTTCAGTGATATTCAGTAAACTGTCACTAAACAGATGTCAGTGGACCCCACAAGTTATCTGTAATAATCAAAGGTTCCCTACAATTAAATAAAAATTAGTATTGACACCGGAAATAAGCACTATTCGCAGTATAAGTCAAACGTACCTGCAATAAGCCACTCTGCAGTACAGAATTTCGTACTAAAATGGTCCTTATTACATTTACTCATAATTGTAATCTTGGTCCATAGCAGACAACTGCTTTATATAAAGGATACATTTCAATAAACAGTCATCAGATTAAAATCAGAGTAAAGTTGAGGTTGCATTAAAACAAACAGTTGCATTGTACGCAAGTAAACTTTATTGCTCGCACTTTCCCCGCTCCTCGAGATCCCGCGGGTCACAGCGAATGGGATGACGAACAAGTGGGCGGATCAAACGTACAATTTCAATTCCTGCCTCTAAAGGTGGTGTCACTGGCAGACCCAGTGTCTGCAGAAACCAGACGCCACACCAGATGCGTATATGGGCTTCATGACTATGGCAGGTTCAAGACATAAGAAGCAGGATAATATTACGTGATTTCTTAGAACAAATACATTCTACTGTCTGGAAGAAAAGGTTCTGAACAATGTTCAACCAGTGTTAATTAATTAATAAAGTCTTCTCGGGCTATCAGCAGTGTTATTTTTATTTTATATTTATTTAGTGTTCTGTCTGACGACAGGTCCATATGAACAGGATCCTTCCATCCTTTTCTCGGACTGGGACCTGTTCATATACGTTCTTGGCAGATGATCCAAAAGTGGTTTGCCATTGCCTTCTTCTGTGTGTGAATAGAGTAATTGTTGGGATGCCACGGAGAAAAACTCCGTGTTGCCTAGACTGAGAAGACTTTTATTAATGAAAGCCGCCGCGAAAGCTTCACATCATATGTAACTGCTAATTAACTTCAGCAAGGTTTATATTTGCATATTTTCATAACACAGCCAACCTTTCCTTCTTTGTACTTTTATTTCCTCACCCTCTTTGATGAGATGTCGTCACTGCTCTTCTGTTCCAGACTCTATTTTGACTTGCTGCTGTGTTACAAAAACAGATTTTACTCCTAAATTTGACCCTGCATTGGTTACTGCCTGTAAAATCCAAGAAAAACATCAATCAGCATAAATGTCACAAAATTAAGTGAGAAGCACTGTGAAAACATATATAAAGAGAAAAAGGTAAAGAAATATGTGCTTAAGCAACATACCATGAAGATGGTAGTACAAAGCTTCATACAGTTCACAGGTAAATTGATTTAAATTGCTTCTTCCCATATGATAAAGGTTAAAATACATTAACATTGTGCATTTCTGTACGATCTGAATTCTAGACAAGAATTTGCCACTGTTATTGATCGCAAATGCCGAGATCTTTCAGATATTTATTTGCAACTCTCTTCTCCTTTTATAAGAAAATGCAAGTTCTCCTCGACTGCTGCTTTTACAGTTCAGATTATTAACTTTTCCACTATTTCTTATTCCAATACTTAAAATTCACTGTTACGTTCCTACGCCGTCCATAAACTTTGTGTACCTTGTACATCACAACAGAAACCACTTCTTTGCAGAATGAATCTCAGTATGAAAGAACAACAAAACTCAGAATTTTAATATTTTTCAGTTCCATACTTCCATAAGAGTTACAGAAGTATGGATCTTACTTCGCCAAGAAACTCTAAAACCAGGACCCAGTACCTGAGTTGTGCACGTGGAGCTTCCAGAGTTCGCCATGCATACTACGACCAGCTTCGTCATCTGTTGGTTGGAGGCCGTTGCCTGGACAATTTTCTGTGTTGCGACTGGTTGCGATGCAGTCACAAACTTTACAACTGTCGAACTATTACTCGTTGGGACAGGTGATGGCTGCAGGGCCTGCACAGGCAACCGAACTATGGACTCCTAAAAATTAGATGCTAAATCGTTATTTGAGCTGCATTAAGTCAGACACACCCGAAACAGATACTAAGCATATCGGGTTTATAAAATAATTAGAAGCAGAGTACTAATTACTGTAAGAGCAGATAACAAAAATTTCTTTTCCAAAATCCTAAAACAAAATATCAGTTATGCTTCTGAATGTTGGGGAAAAAATGTTGCATGCAGCTATGAGGATTCATTGCATCCTTTGTTATTCGATTCATAAAAAGAAATCAACAGAATAGACTTACCTGTCATAAACTTGTCTCTTCTATCACAATTACTCATTTACAGATTTAATTTACAAAACAAATGTAAATTATTGGCAGAACAGATAATTCTGTAACACCTTAGGTCCACAAGGAATCATTAAAATAAATACAATGTTTACACACTAAAACACTAAACATATGCAATATGAATTTACAAAGAAAAACAGAAATATATAACAACTCTTTTTCTTCACATGGAATATAACCAAATCAGACTAAGAAAAAATATGACATTACACTACCTTAACGACGCTAATTTTTTTAAAAATCAGTCCTGTAATTTTCTGAACATACTTTGAGATTGTAGCTAATAACACGAAACTCACTTGGCTTGGAGTGGTCGGACGAGATGTTACGATAACATACTTTGATGCATTACTGCTACCAACAACAGGTCTTGGTGCTCCAGCACCACCCATCATGATTGTTCTTCCACTTCCTGGTTGGGATGAACCTAACAAAATCCACCAAGATCTGTCACATGTTCTATATTTAGTCCCTACATACGCAACATACAGTCTGTTACAACATTAACATTATTAATTTTTATATTTGGAAATATTGGCAAATTAATGGATTTTGAGTGCTCGACATTACATTAAATACTTTGAAATTGGACAACCCTGGTCATAAATAGTAGCCATGGCGCCTCCACCAAAAGTTGTTATTCTGACTGCACTACTAAGCACAGAAGTGATTACGGATCTGATAGCTATATAGCGGCATAATATATTCTTGTTTGAATTCAAAATCCTTTACAAGCTGTGCCATATCGCACGTATCATCATTTCATAAAACAAAGGTCAATGGCAAACCTGTCTGTACAATGCCAGTCTGACTTGGCAGACCTCGCGGTGTTGGTGCTGCTATTGTAGGGGGTGCTGGTGTTGCCGTGGCAGTAGCATTAGTGGTGCCAACGGCAGAGGCCGCTGGGTTAGCCGGCTGAGCGCGAGCCTTCAACACTGCTGTGTGCAACGCGGGACCCAGGTAACCAAATTCATTTCGGTATTCCTCCACATAATCTGGTGGTTGTCGAAGGGTCTTCAGAAGGGGAGACAACACTTTCTGTGTATAAATGATAATGACAAGAAGTTGTTATAGACATTACAAAATTATGAACTCTTTATTCCTTTCTTCTCAGTTCAATCATTCCTTCTATGTCGCAGTCTTCATTAACGTCATCACTATCCACCTTCCCAAAAACCTATTTAGATTGTCACAGACAGTCAAAACAGAACCCCACTTAATGGTACCTGCATCTTGTCGTGGTGGTGGGGCTCGAGTACCTCGGTGACCCCAAGAGCTATGCTGGTGGTAGCATAGCTACTGGTAGGGCCTCCCTAGCCAGAGTGGTCAAGCGGGAGAGGTCAGACTAAGACAGGTACCCTGGTCCTCCAGGCTGGGGGTTCGGGGTTGGTTGCAAAGCTAACAACCTTGCACCGTAAAAAGGAAGATGTTTCGAAACCTCAATCAAAGCCTCGGACAGACGGACCTAACAGAGGACCGAATCAAAGAGGAGAATTGAGGAGGCCATGGACCGAATACGGACCGGAGCGCCATAGAAGAAGAATAGAAGTCAAAACAGAATCCATTTGACAAGAGTGCTACTCACCACAAGAAGATGCTTGATGTGACCTGCAGCAATCTTATCAATATTGCTCAATATAGGACCCTCTGTGGCATTCTCTATACGATCTGCCACATGTTTTACCCTTGGCAATATGAACACCTTCACAACCTCCGTACCCAACTCAGACAATCCTGCAAACATAGAATAAGTTACCTACGTCTGTTTCGTGTCGTACTACATCAATGAATATTAAATAATTGTCAAAAGTGTACAATAAAGAAATATTCTCTATCACACCACTCACCTTCTATGGCACCGTAAAGTGAAGCCAACTGCATCTTCTCATCACGCAATGCTTGACTAAACATGCGAGTCACCCTCGTCTGAACATTATTTGTAGACGTGTTGAAGTTCTTGCAAATCTGCGCCATGAGGCGAGATGCGAAATCACGCAATGCCCAGTGATTATCTAGCTCAGGCCTCATACACAACTGTTTGCTTACGATGCACGTCGCCACTGATGGGATCAACTCGTGCAACTGAAATAGCAATCGAGGAACTTAACGCAAAGAAAGAGAAATATTTTAGCATTAATTACCATAAAAACTCTACAATGTTACTCACATGATACGTGAAATGAAATCTGTGTGCAATGACACGTACGGGATCCATTTAATACATACAATTTCTTCCTAACTATTAGAATCAATTTTAATATTACACAAATGCTTTTTCTTTTACATTTCAGTAGTTCCAGAGAACAGCACTACATATTTAAACCAAGCTTTTGAAACACTGAAGTACGTAGCTTTGCTCAAATGTGCAGGTGTTTGCAATGCACAGGACCCCACCAAAAATAGAGAACAAAAGGACAACCAAATTTCCACATATATTGTATCTGTGCATCAAATACTCCGCCACAAAAACGCGATATTAAATTCTCTGATGCACCAGCTGTACGCATGAGCAGATGTAAGAGTACTTACATACTTTTCCAGGTAGAGTGACTGGTTGTCAAGGAGAGCCTTCACCATCCTCATGAGGTAAATAAGAAGAGCAAGGTTATTCTGCACTACATTCACCTTCACGCCCTCCGCTATGAAAGTGCACATACGAGGTAACATCTCGTGGAGACCAGGGTCTGATGCCAAGCTCTGCAGAGCTTCCTATAAATGTCATAAATAACAGAATTAGTCCTTACAATTCTCCTTTCAACCACAAGGACAAATAAGAAATTAAACAGCTATAATTTCATAAAGAAGTATCACTACCAACTTTGTTATATGGAAGTGAATCACGGACAACTAAAACAAGACACATAAATAAATGAAACGTAGTTAAGAACAGTGAAAAGCATTACTAGACTTTCCCATATTAAGAATAAAGATATTAGGAAATAACTTAAAATACAATCAAGACAAAATATTTAACCACAGACAAAATTAGAAAAACCATTTTGAAATAGTAACACGTTACCCAAACAGATTCTACGGTACAAAGCAAAAGGATGCCGAGACAAAACATCTTCGAAAAGATGGAATGAGTATGTGAAGATCGCATAGGCTTGAGCGACTATATCAGACAAACATGAATTCTGCTTTCAGAGGCTCAATAATTTTAAATATCAACCAGAGAAATGATCTTTGCGGAAGAAAGAATATTGCTCTTATGATGACTGCATTGCAATGTATAAAGCAGGCCACCAAGATAATTGCAAACCAGAAATTAAGAGTATGGTCAATTTATAAACATATTTGAGTTTTACAACTTATTTCCAGGATTACATTAACAAATGTCTTATGCATGCAGTCCCATGACAATAGGTTCTAATGTTGCTTAAGAATCTCAATGGCAGTCCTGAAGATGGAGACCAATGCTTCTCTGAAACGCTGATACCACCTACAAGTCCATATGGCATCATGACCTAGAAGACCACAACTGACATCTTCATTGCTGTGGAAATCTCAACTAGACAGAATACACATTAATTTTTCATGAACGTACCGCTCTGCGAGCTTCGTCTGATCCGACACATGCCTCGGTAATTTCTTTGTAGTAAAGCTGCTGTTCCACGGACAGCTCGTGTGTGGCCAACTGCTTAACATGCACCGTTTCCACGTTGCGTAACTTGTGCATTTTCCTGCAGAAAAGATCACGGAAAGCTATCCAATGAATTGAAACAATCATACTTTCAATTGAGCTTATACTACTTACCTAGTAACAAATATTAGGATCAAATGCATAGAAATACCAGTAAGAAAAAATACACTACAAAACCTGCAGAGTGATCATCAGAGCTTTAAATTATGGAAAATTAATAAACAAAAATTTTGGGTACTTGTGGGTTACGGGACACATCGCTTTAAAAACAGGTTAGGTTAGGTTAATGTGTGTGGATAAATGACATATACTTGAAAGTTATTATATTTTATTTGGATATGCATGAGATGTTAATTGTTGTTACTACCTGTCTCTGGAGGCCAAATTTCGCTTATAGATTTTAGAATCATTTTAAAAATATCGCCGTTATCATTTGTACACCGCCATATGAACTCAGTTAAACATGAATGCAGATGATGTCGGGCCGTGCCTCCTGTTTTGTGTCCCGATAACCCACAAGTACCGAATTTTGCCTTATGAAGAATATTCAATAAATTGAGGCACTGAATTCTACTGCACTTTGAATACAAGGACAAAATACATGCATCACTCTTGACTCCAGAAATCACTGTCAACAGAAGTATTTAGAACCTATACACGTCCTGGCTGCAAAATATTCTGATAATGTTACAAGTGGTAGGGGTTAATTAATAAACCATCACATAATGTTACATATGGATTTTACCCTGTTGTAGGTTTACCAGCTGCTTCTCCTTTCTCCTTCGCTGTTTTATTCAACTTGGTCACAGGATCAATACTCTCCAATTTCTGTTGCTCCTTTGAAACTGGTGGAGGATTTTCTGGTATGGTTGGTTGCACACCGTCAATACATAACCAATGTGCTGCAAGAAATCCATCATCAGATTTACCTGCTAAGCTACCTTCCATGTAAATTGGGAAATCAGAAGTCCAATCAAAACATATCAATACTGAGTTCATGACTCATGTATATTACAATGCACAGGAACCCTGCTGTAAGCAATAAGTCCTCACATGTCCAGGCATGTTGAGGTTATGCCAAAGTAACAATGTCCAGAGCACCGTGGAATGAACGTAAATTAATTCTGTCTTCTGAATGATGATGAATATTCATCGCCCTGATGACGGAGGCAGTATGACCTCTGAAACGTTGGTTAACATCGACCAGACTACACAGCGCAATAACCCAGAAGACAGAAATCTTCATATTCACCGCTGTGAGAACCTCAAGTCTTACATGGTGACAAAAACTTACAAATTGAACGAGTTTATAGGTGGTTCAATAATTTTGACCACCCCCAGTTCAATATTTTTGACGTAAATACGTCTATATGGAAGGGTCATTCCGCAATTCAAATTCTCCAGAACCGTGGTTCCACTGTAACTTTTATGTGAATTCTAGTAGTCTGGTCCAAATTAATTTTTCAATTACCACTTAGAAACTAAAATGATTCACCATCATTGTTTTCTGTCTCACTTACTTGTCCAACTACATTCCCAACATTTAGGCTTTTTGCAACAATATGTTACAGCATAATGCATTATTTACAAGAAAAGCATCAGACTACTAGCTGGCAATATAAATTAATTTGGATGCTACTCAGATAAAAATGTGTAGTTATATAATTTTGTGGAGATTTCCATGAGGAAACTACAAATAATTCATATGGCCATTGACATGTGGCAGGAGTCTTCAAATACAGAAAGATATCATTACTGTACATACCTCTTAATGAGACATCTAGTGGCAGTTTTGGTAATGGAGTATTGATCAAGTCATTCAAGTCCAGTTCTTTCTCTTCAATAAAATGTAGTTCTCGACCACCACCAGAAGCAAATCGGAAAGGAATGTTATCATGTGCAGAGAATCCATACAGTGGCTGGCAAAAAATATCAGTTAAACACTTACAAGAAAGCATAACTTAACATAACTCAGTGTATAAGAATGTCATAAATGAAACAAGGCTAACCTGTGATGCACGTACAAAATTTTAATGCCAGCCACTTGCCTTGTGACATTTTTGAAACACTGGTAACCACCTAAAATACTACATGGTATTACCACCCATAAGAGCACAATCCGCATTTTCACCAACATGAAAACCTCAAATCTTAATATTAACTGTTTCAGTAATTCATTCATTATACAAAAATTAGTCTCTGTAATTAAGGGAAATCTATTTAATGCTTTATTCCCACATTCACCAGAAAGCCTGGATAAAATTATGAAAACCTATCACTACAATTTGTTCTTGGTATAGGATTTAAATTAGAACACTCCTGAACACAATGCATAAGTTATGGCTTATAGTCAACATAAATAAGCAATAATAAGGTTTATAGTTCCTTGTTTAAAAAATAAACTAAGCAGATCCAAGCTAAATTACTAACTAACTGAATTCACATCTGTCAATGTTAAAATAAAAACCAAAACGATTTAAATACGTACTATTGTTCATGTTCTTGAGTGTAATTATGTTTTGAGAAGTGGGGCAGTGTTTCGAAAGTATCACCCTAGTAGTACCACTAAATATGCCACAATATAATGCAAACTTACCTCGATATTTTTAACTTTGAGTGCATGATCAATGTCTGATGTCGATAGCTTCATTCTTTTAGCATGATGCATAAACTTTGCTGCATCCTTAAAGAAAACAAAAAAGGAATTTCTTACAACAGTATTATACTATATCCATATCGTCAGACTATTCGCACGAAACTAACCTGTACAATTTGTTTCAGCCTATACGAAACGTCATCGGCCAACTGCTTGGCGGCTTCATCTGGAAGATTTCCGACACCTACACTTTCTGCTATCACTTTAATTGATTCTAGGGACAAAGATGTCCCGTATAACATATCTGCTTCAGTCATATTTAATTTTACAGTAATAAGTATTACTACTCATACACCAATAAAACATTTCTCATGGTACATTCACACCACAGACTACTACATAACAACCAACGCGTTGTTTGGTGTCCTAGCCAACATCTTACAAACACATCACTCTAACAGTTCACTTTGAAACGTAAAACTTTCTGCATATAATTCAAACGTCTTTCTAATTGAAACTTATCACAACCGAAATAAATTTCTAATACGTGTCTAATAGTCATTATTAGCAAATTATACAGATATATTTACTCGATTTTCATTTACACATTGGCTAACCTGAGAGAACTGAGCATTACGTGCATACTATTCACCTGCCATCTATTGGAGAGCCAAGACAATGCATGAAGGACATAGTGTTCCGTTTGCTAGCACCATACGTTACGTCTACAACGGGAGATCCGGGTGTTAAAAAGGATCATTAGTAATGGCGTCATGATAATGATACCGATGATAGTAGCATTATACACGCCTAATAAAAAAACATAGGAATTAAACAGTTGGATTATGAATAGGCTGTGCTTTACACCACGCATGATGAGAGTAACAAAATCAAGGAGGATGGACTGGAAAGTACCATTGGGGAGATTAAAAGTGCATACAAAATTTTGGTGGCAAAGCCTGTTTAGGCGATGCTGTTGATGGCAGTCTTCGTACTCACCACTGTCAGTTATTTGGTTTTCCCTAGCTCATCATCATTCCCTTGCTCCATATGTGTCTATTACAATCCCATGCCATAGTTCTGATCAAGTAGAACACTACTATCACACTTTCTATCCTAAGTTAAGAGCTTCATCCCTGTCCTAGCACTTTATTGTTTTCAGAGCAAAGGTAAATTAGTTTTAACAAATTTCTTTAAGGGCATGGTGTATCCATAAGCAATGTCATAATGCATGCAATTTGTCTGTTAGTCTGTGCCTAAATTATATTAGTTTTGTCTGCGGAGATGGGACACAAATTTGAACATGTACAACCACAAGTGTATGGTAAGAATGCTTATATTCTGACACTCCATGTTGTTTTCAGGCACAGCATTAGCATCTTCTTCCATTTTATGATAACTGGAAAGGAATCAGTGGAAAAAGTAAAGGTCTATGGCAATCATATATGTTGCGACATTTTCCATCCAATAAAAACCAAATCTCTATATTACTCTAATATTTCAGTCAGTTATAATATATTACAGTATTTCATTCTGAATACTACAGTAAATAGAAATTATAATAAAATCTGAATTCTAATTCTAATACAGTTCAACAAAACATATAAATAAAAAATATTTCCTCTATGTATATATATATATATATATATAATATATGTCAAAATATTGAGTATATTTATCATCACTTGCATCAGCATTAAAAGTAATGGAATACTTATTGGCAACACAATTTGGCCTCTACTTTTCAGTCCAAGTGGTAATCAATGATAAGGTTATCAAAGTTGATAATTATTGCTTTCTATAGAAGTGCCACGTTCTGGTAAATTATTGAGTATTTTCAAGGGGCAGTTCTATTTTATAAATGTATACATATATAAAATTAAATTACATATAATAGGATTTTTATATCTCTCAACTAGTACATGGCTGTGTATTATTTTATGCTAATGTAATCTAGACAGGCAAGATTATTTACCGTATACTTGTGTCTAAACCGAAACAGAATTTGAAACAACATAATATTTACTGTCATAATAAAAATAATAGTTATTATTATAATGATATATATATTACTTTCAAAGGATTTATGATCTGGTAAAGAAAACATCACAGCACAAAACAATAAATTTGCAACAAAGCATAGGAACAAATTTTCTGAATGAATAATACAATTCTATAATATAATACAATCTTGAGATTCTCTAGGTTTCACTTTGAAAATGAAAAACTGTCACACGTTGGGTGTGTCTGCCAACTAAGATAATCTCAGTTGATGAACATATCTGGCTAGTCGCAGTTTAAACCATTTTGTACACAAAGTAGGAATGTCGCTCTTTAATAAATTCTGAAGCTAAGGTACTCGTTCATATTGGCAGCTCTTGACATAAGATCTGTTTGTATTACAATATAAGGCTCTTTCAGATACATCTTTGTTTAGAGGTGTTACAATATTCAGTCTTCGTTAGGTACCCTCAATGTCTTATCAACATTTCCCTATCTATTCTTTACATGGTAAACAGATACAAACAAAGTACTGACGTCATAACAGATTACAACTGAAGAATATAAGCTGTATGAGTAAACCATTTTGAAAAAATATTAATGACATTGTTACTTTCACTCGATATTACAAAACTTTGCATGAAAAATGAAGCGATAATATCATATTTCCAAATTTCGATGCGTTATTCCTCTGCGTCTTCTGGCACAAAGTCTTCTGACGTGACAGACTGCCGATGGATGTGCTTAAGTAACGTTTATCTCTGTCTGATAGCAATACTGAAGCAAAAATGTTTGTAGAAAGTCTTTCACTCTGCCAAGCATTGCCACTAATTTCAGTACACTGTCGTTAATGTTTTGTAATTATTTCAGAAACTGTTTATAAGACACCCCACTTAATGGTACCTGCACCTTGTGGTGGTGGGGCTCGAGTACCTCAGTGACCCCAAGAGCTATGCTGGCGGTAGCATAGCTACTGGTAGGGCCTCCCTAGCCAGATTGGTCGAGGGGAAGAGGTCAGGCTAAGACAGGTACCCTGATCCTCCAGGTTGGGGGTTGGTCGCAAGGCTAACAACCTTGCACTGTAAAAAGGAAGATGTTTCGAAACCTCAATCAAAGCCTCGGACAGACGGACCTAACAGAAGGCAGCGGAGGATAGGACCGAATGGAAGAGGAGAATTGAGGAGGCCATGGACCGAATACAGACTGGAGAGGAGGAGGAGAAGAAGAAGGAGAAGGAGAAGAAGAAGGAGGAGGAGGAGAAGTAGTAGTAGTAGTAATTTATAAGACAGCAATGTAGAAAAGTTCTCTGATGTACAGCAGTCAGCTATTTAGAACTATACAGTGTCACAGTTGGACAGTAAAACATTTTAACTATTTTATGGAGCCAGTTTTTAGGGGATGAAGATTGGGATTTTAAATGGAACACAAATAATATTACCAGAAAGTTACATGAATTTGATGGATTGCATCTTTACTTTCTGGTAATCAACATTAATGTCCTATATAAAGTTTGGAATTTTTCTAAATGCGCCAAAACACAAAAGGTACTATCTGATTTATACAGTGGAACATTATGTACACAATACTATTATATAATTGTAAAACAAAAGTTATACAACCACTTTTAAGAGGAAGACGTACATTTAACTTTAGTCAAGTGCAGTTTATACTCGTATAAAGTAACTTATGAATGTCACTGGTGAAAATAATATTTTGTACTGACCACTTCATACTACTCCTGCAATGAATTAAAACAAAGTCCTCTTTTATTTCACAAACTAGACGTTAGCTCATGGACTTTTGAGCTCTCACGGATTTAATCATGGATGGTGCAATATGTAACATTTAAATTTAGCCTTATTTAACCTTAGCCAGATTTATTCTTTCAAATGTTTCGATTACTAAACTTTACTCAGTTACATTGTAGATTTTTTAACATTACTACAGTACGTATTTATTATATGACATTTCCTTTGAAAAGCTGAATTGTTATTTCTCTGTTTGTACACAAAAATGTGTATTAATAACTGATCACTTTAGTGAATATATAATCTACGGTATTACCAATTACTTGTAATTGAGAAAAGAGAAACATCAATGCAACCAGTGACAGAAGTTTTTACTAATACTACCGAAATGCTGCATTTAATGATTACAGTGCAAAACCACCTCTAGTTCCACTTAAATCAAATATATATCTTATTTCTCCAATCATTCTTATTTCTAATGATCAGATTCCCTGGGTTCAATCGTTAAGCTTTGTGCAATATTTACTTCTATTGTCTTCAGAAGCATCCTCATGAAGACTGTAACGATGATCACGAAGACTTTGCGCTACTGTACCTCCCCTTGTTAGCTCCTGGTTTTGTTACGCCATTGCTGTTGGCTGCAGTGTTTTTCTGTGCCATGTGGGTCTGGTAATGCTTAGCAAGATGTGCCTTCTGTCTGAAGCTCTTGCCACATAAAGAACATGCGAATGGCTTTTCTCCCGTGTGCGTGCGAATGTGTACATTTACCGAGTACTTATCTTTGAAGCCTTTACTACAGATATTGCAGTAATGCAGGGACCTCTCCTTGCGCACGCCATTGCTCTGTAGCTGGTGACTGCTGTGTGCGGCCTTGGTGCTTCCACCCCCACCACTTCCACTTTGCTTCTTTGTATACTTCTTCCCAACACTAGTTTTTGTTGTGGATTGTGAAGTGGTAAGAATTGTTGAGAGATTTGCGTGATGGTGGTGGTGGTGATGGTGGTGAGTTGAGGACAGTATGGAATTTGGTACGAGGTTATCTGCTGATGAAAGTTGCGTCGAGATGTAGATTCCAGAGGGTGCGTGTTGGGTTGGACTTGCAATGCTGTTTTGGTCCAAGTTGCAGTACTGATTCACAGATTCTGCGACCTCATTGGCAATTCGCTTGAGTTTCTCATAATCCTCAGGGTAGGATGCTGCATCGAGTTGTGACAGCAGAATATCATCCATGCTGTGTGCCGAGGAAGGGTTATCTGAATCCGTCAGGCCTAGACCTCTGCTTCCACCTCCACCATCAAACATGACCACAGCATTGCCCTCCATCGTCACAGTCATCAGCGGAGACGGCTTTTGATCTCCCCCACTGCAGTCATCAGTTATATCACTGGCGATAAACACTGGAGAATGTTCCATGGGCGTCTTTGCTCCATTAGGAGGTGTGGACAAGACCCGTCTAAGTTCAATGTGTCCTTCCATAGGTTTCCCGTTCTTGGGATTCGTGCCGTTGTAACGGCCAAGCAGACTCTTTCCTTGCAAAGCATTTCGTAATAACGAATCTGCGGTACTGTTGGAATTGTTGTTTGCCAACTTCCAGTCGTTGTTATTGTTGTTGAAGCTGGCACTGGGATCTCTACCATTGGCGTCTTGTTGGATGAGTGATGGGCCATCGACAATGTGACTAATACAGTCTTTGTTAGCGTACCCACTGTCTTCATACGTGTATTGTTGTTCAGACTTCACGAGGCCATCCTGACTAATTGTATGATGTGGACTCAAGGTCACTGCAGAATCGTTAGTCTGGTGGAGGTGATTTGAAGAAAGTGAGTGATTCTGACGGTAACCGTTCTGGTGGAACTGATGTCCGGTTGATGTTGATGATGATGTAGGTGTGGGTGTAGCTGAGGGTTGGTTAGGTATAATACTAAGAATTGAATCGAGATCAAGAGCTGATGAATGGTTCTGTTGATTATTATGAGAATTTATTTGCTGGCACTCCATATTATGTGGGGAGGATAATGATTGTTGATGATTTTCATCTTCATCCTTCAGGCTTGTAGGAGCTTCCGGTGTCCGATACCAGGTGGCACTATGATCGCCGCCATTCAGTACTGTCAACGTATATATCGCTCCATCTGTGTTGTTATGTGTACTGTTACTGATGCTTACTTTGTGGCAAGAGCCGCCATTGCTATTTGGGGAGGCGGATTCTGTCGAATCTTGGCTCCAGCAGAATTTGTTCAAGTCCTCCAATATGGCAGTTTCAAGTCTTACGGTTTCTTTGTCGCAAGAGGAGGATGTCCAAAAGGAGTGATCGCCGAAGTTGCCCATACTGTGATCCGTTGGTGGCAGGCCTGATGGTGCCGTCGTTGTCATCATAAGGTGATTGTTGTTAGATTCTTTGACGTCCTGATAGGTCGTGGTTCCAGGGTCGTTGTTGTTATTGCTATTGTTACTTTCGATAAAGATTCCCATGGATTTCAGTGTTCTGTTAAAGTGCAAAGTTTGTTGATGTTCTCCTACATCTGGCGTCACGACGAAATCAAAGAAATCTGTTTTTGAAATATCTTCCCCTCTGAAGGCTTCCGTTATATCCATTATCACGATGTAATGGACGGCTCAGTATCTTGTACAAGAAAAGCGAAAGTTTGTTAGCTGTATTTTCGAATTGGGTATTATTTACATTTGAACTTTAATAATTTGTTTTCGACTTCTCAGACAGTTTCTTCTTTCGAGTGCTCTTTTCAACAGATCTCTCAGCAACTTATCTGCTTGATCTGAACTGAGTTTTCTTCGCTGGTGTTACTTGGCGACTGTGCCATGCAATGGTGTCGGTGCCTTTGTACGACACTGATACGGCCGTGGGCGGACCCGATTCGCAGCTTTCAGTGTGTCGTCGCTGGCGCTTTGTTTTCATCACGAACCGTCCTGAAATGCAGAAAAAATCAAACATTACATAATGCATTCTAAAAGTGATAAAAGGTTAGAAAATTATGGGACATCTTTGTTAAACCTTTATGAAAATATTCGAATTTATTTTAGGATAGAGCCTAAAAGTGCGCACTGGATCGGCTGGGAACGTGGTCCAGTGGCGTACTCTTGTGAATACAGTATTAAAGTTCACGGTTCTACAAAGAGCAGTATTCTTTTTTCACCAGTCGAGCAAGTGTTCGTTCTTCAAGAACTACCCTGTACTATGGAATTAATTATTTCAACATGAATTAGCCCTACATGTAATATCAGCCATAAAATATAGCATACATGTAAGCTAACAAACAGTAGTCAAGGGATTAGTTGCTCAAATTCGAGGCCAATGCTGTCCAAGGTATATTGAATATTGTGTACGGATTCGAGCAGTTTGGGCGACAACCACCGGGTAGGATTTTCTAGTAACTGGTATAAAAACAGATTTTTATATATAATTTTAATATAACGTAATTTTTGGTCTAGTAATCGTAATGAAATCTGATAAACATGTGAGTACTCTTTTGTGAATTACAGGGCTTCTGCTGAAATCAGTCAAGGAGAGGGCGGCTTAATCAGAGTCTCCACTTCTTTAAGCGACGTGTTAAAACTGTAATCAATGAAATGTCAAAAACATCGGAGAGAAGGTCAATTTAAAGTTCATGGAATAACTTTGAACTCTTTATGCCACATTAAGTAGCACAGAATTGAAACAAACTACAAAATTTAAGAAATATTGGTCCAGTTTTCTAGTATCCATATTTCTTCTTTCGGGCTTCCAGTTTTCATTTACACTAAGGTACACTCCTAGTCACTTAGGTTAAAATGCATGAAAGAATTAGTGTGTGTAATCTAATATTCTCCAGACCAATTGTTTTTACACGAAAACAAGCTCAAAATGTTGATGACTTAACTGTTAAGTCACCGCACTTTCCAACACTGCCATGTACGTAACTCAAAAATCAGTCTTGCAAACGACGCTTAATGAACCGTTCTTTCTGCTCGTTGAGACATTCTCGGATCCATCTTAAGAGTGTCCCAACAAACTGAACACTCTTAACAATTCAAAGTATTCGAGTCATTGCTCTAACAGCATATAGCTTAGAACGCGTGTCGCACAGTCGACCACCTGACGTAACAGAACACTAGAATTAATTCAGGAATACTTCTTCGCTGTGCAAGACATCATACGTTAATAAAACTCAATTACATCTCCCATATAAGTGAGCGACTTTAATGTCATTACTCTACTGACTAGCAGAACGTGAAGAAATCTTATTTGGTCGAAAGCGTAATGGCCGATATCAGCAGCAGAGCCGCCTAGAATACGCACTGTGCTAGGTTAGTCGAACACTGGCTGGAATCACGAATTCAAATCCCGTTTCAAGTAAGAATGTCTGTTCGTGCTTTCTTATGTTGTAATGCGAAGTTTGTAGTTTTACGATGACTTCATCGTTAATTAAGGATCTCTAAAGTTTGTGAGAGCAATGAAACCAGCGCAACAGAAGAGAACAACTGGCTCGAAACAGGCCGAAGACGACGAATGATTAGATTATAAACTGATGGGTAGGGCGTAAAGAACGCTAGAAGTCACGTTGCAGTTTTCACTCTAAGTTCTCTGCTGTGCAAATCTTTAATATGTCCGCTTCCGAGGTTCTGTGAAACACTTATAGATATGGTAGTTATTTTCCGGTGAGAAGATCTATCCCCGCCTGTTCGCTTCTATTTATTTAATACGTACGAAGCTACTCTTACATGAAGTCTGAATTTTTTATGATGATGGTAAGTAAAATCTGTAAAATTTGTATTTTGTTCTTTGTCCATCGTCTATATTTCAATACAATTACAACGTATCGGAAGTTGGATTTTCATGTTGTCTTCTGGTAAGAAGGGGGGAAACGGAAAAGGATCCAGTACAGACGATGGATCCACATTCTGCAGATTTAGGTCTACAAAGTTAAAATCTCGTTATTGTGAAAAGGTACGCTGATCCTTTACTTAAATTGTATTAAATTTAACAAAACAGTATAAACATTTCTCTTGTATTAATAATTCAAACTGTATAAAATTAAGACTTGAGATCTAAAGAATTATAAAAATTTGTGATTTGTCGTCGTCGCCAACCAATTTATAGCCATTTGTTTACTCGGCGTTGTTGTGTTGGTAGCGCTTTGCGCTAGTAAAGACAAATTTTCCGACCCCTGACTTAAGACGATAAACAATTTGAAGTGTTCTGTATTCTTCCCTAAACAATATCTCACAGATAACCGGCACAATGCAGAAGGGATGCCAACATTCAAGTCTGTAATATCGATTTCTATAGAATAACTTTTATACTGAGAACATTATTACAACGTTTCTCCGAAACTACGGTACGTCTCACATGACGCAAACTGCAACAGACTGCTATTTTATTTACGGTAAACTTAAAACTCCAAACAGGAGAAAACCAGTTTTATTGTTTCATGGAAATAGGTGCCTATAAATTCTTTCCTTACAATGTAGGACTGAGAGAACTGATGCGCCTTGATCTTCCACAGAGTAATAATGTAGTCCATAGTCGCACTTTTTCGAGAAATGTGAGTGCCCTAGGCACTTTCTTTAGAAGATAAAGAAACTGTTCTGGGAGTTACTCAGACTCTCGTAAGTGGAATGACGTTTCACTCTTATTTGGGAATAAACAAGGACAAAGACTGTACTGCAAATGAGATTTTAGGTTCTCATGGCCGCGAGTATAAAGGTTATTTTCTTCTGCGATGCTACGCCTTGTAATCCGTGCGATTGCCCTGTTGGTGGAGGATTTGGACTAATTCTTTGTGATACGGACGGTGCTTGTAGAAAGCATGGGGGTGTGAGAACGCTTAAACATTTCTATTTGAAAGCTTGAAGGGAATAGACCACTTAGAAGACCTATAAATAGTTCGGAGGATATTATTAAAATAAATGTTTTGGAAATATCAGGTGTAGAGTGTGGGCAGGATTTGCTTGGCTTAGGTTAGAGACCGGTGGTGGACTCTTGTGAATAAGATAATGAACAATTTGGTTCCACAAAAGACGAAAATTGTGATTAGCTGAGCGTAGGCCACTGTCAGCGTCTCGAAGCATAGGAGGATTAGGAATCTGCAATTGGTCAGTTAATAGTGAAAAAGCAAGATACGAAACAAGATTGAAAAGACGTACCCTTTGGCGTATACAGAGATTTTTAAAGTATTCTTCACGCCATGTCAAAAAGGTCAATGTTGTAATAATGTGATCCAACAAAACTCTAAGTCATTTTTAAACTCATGTAATCAGAGTTGCGGAAGCACAGGGGGTGTCTAAGACAGGGGAGAGGCGGCCTGCGGAGCAAAGTCCCTAGAACAGCAATTTGTGGGGGCAGGCCCTAACGAAGCAAACATTTTGTAGAACTGAATCCACCGATTATGGCCTCTGACCTTGTAGGGGGAGTCCAGTATGCGGACCAATCGATGAAGGAAGGAGTTTTCGTCTGTCAGTACAGTCTGTGTCAATGCAGCGGTGTAGAAGCCTGATAATTGTTGTCTTGTGACTGTGCTGTGTTAACAACATGACACCTGTTCGTTGCAGCTCCTTTCTGGTCATTGACAACGCCTCGTATCACAACACTCAGACACACAAACCACCGACGTCTTAATCAAAGAAGGACGAAATGAAAGCCTGGCTATTGGAAATAAATATCCCATTTTGTGACAACGTGTTGAAAGCTCAACTGTACGATATAATCAAATTAAATAAGTCAAAGAACAAATAATATGTGATTGATCAGATTTTAGCAGACAAAGAACGTACTGTGCTGAGCCTTCCGCCGTACAATCCCGATTTAAACCCCATTGAAATTATTTGGGCAGATGTAAAACAATGGGTTGTAAGCAAGAACACAACATCTAAGATGAAGAACGTCGAGCATCTGTGTAGCCAGAGATTCGAAGAAATTGGGCAAGAGGAATAGGATATTGTGTATGTCGGCATATGGAAAAACTAGAACAAATTTGTTATGAGCAAGAAGGCATAATCGAAGACGCTATTGAACGTATTATAATTGAAGACAATGGAGTGGACAGCTGCAGCGGCAGTGATGAATCGAGTGATGTCAGAAGGCGATGGTCTGAGAGGAGTGGAAGAATTGGAAGAGGACCGAAGAGTTGTGAAGAAGTTAAAATTATCTAATACTCTCTGCAATGTTAATTTTCTAGTGATGTGTTGTGTAGTGAAATCGACTTTCCTGTGTTGCAGAACGTGGTGATATTCTATTTGGAGCGTACTGTACGCGGCCTGCTGCCATCGCTTCCAGGAAATGTTTGGCAACTGACTCGCTCCAAGGTTCCAATTCACAAATTTCAGCGGCCAGAAATGCTGGAACGCAGTATACAAGGATCTGGATCGTAAAGTCCCTCTTTTGAGTACTAGCAGGGGATTACCTGGTGTGTCCCCAGGGTTTGCGGTCACCGGAAGTAACTTACCCCCGTGAGTGGCATTCTCAGTCATGAGGCCTGGATGATTTAACCTGCGACGGTGCATGCAAAGGGGTGTCAAACCCGGCGAAGACAAACAATGAAATAACATTAACTTTAGGAATAAGAATGGAAACCATGACAATAGGAATAATAATAATAATTAAGAACATCAGTATGATCAACAATAATAAATTCCACTGAGTAATGACGAATCTCGGTCATGCAGGCTGCGTACCCGGTAATAAAAGTGCGACAGACGTACTTGAACCAGCCGATACATTGTTCTTCGCTCACGCTAGAGCATTAAGAGCCCCTAATACAAAATGAATTAGAGAAAAGAACAAAGGAAGAGGACAGAAGTTAAAGACACGAAAGCGGAAGGTTTTACAAAGACTAAATGCCTCTTTGATTCCAAATTAAATCCAGCCAGCCTCTTCGTATACGTTCGAAATGACAATCGTACGTTACTTATAACGAATGCAGTATATCCGT